GGAACAATGGCAAACGGCCATTTAGATGCAACGATGGGTCTCTCCTCATCCAGAGCAAAGAAGAATGAAAAAAACTAAAGACTCATGGAAACAATTAGTCCAAGGGACTGGAAGACCATGTGATCCTCAGCCTATATGACCATGAGACCAGAAGAACTAGATGGTGCCCGGCTACCACAGTCAACCACTTGGAGGGGGGGATCAGTACAGGAGATCCTAGAGAGAGTAAGAGAACAATTTGGAACAAAACTCAAAAAAAAAAAAAAAAGACCAGGTTTGCTGGTGAGACCCCTGAGACTATAGCCTCTAATTCCCTTCAGATCTGGAACTAAACTCACTCCTGTGGCTTCCAGTCAAACAAGGGACAGGCATATGGGGTGAACATTTATACCAGATAGATACACTCCTTGGAGTGATCAATAATGGGAGAACAGAAGGGCAGTGTTTGCATGGGGACATATATAGCTCAGTGGGCAGGAGTACATGGGAGGAAAGAACACAGGGAAGAGGTAACTACAGGGAGGAAGTAGGAAGAGAGCTGTTGCATTGTGGGTAATTGCAGTCAATGTCAGGAAACAAAATGTGCATGAACTGCTGTATGGAAAATCCATTTGCTCTGTGAACTGTCACCCAAATCACAATAAAAATAAAAAGAAATAATAATAACAATAAAGAACAACAACTGCTGTCATGGGCTGGGGCTGGACTGGGAGCCCAGAGCTAGGAAGGAGACTTTCTACTTCCTGGAGAAGGAACATGCAGTTTGCAGAAGTCAGAGCATGAAGCTCTATCTGACTGTGTTAACAGTTTTGTGGAGGTGTTGTTTCTTGCATTTTTTCATTGTTGTAAATATATAGGTAACAAAACATGTGCCATTTCAACAATCTTCACATGTTCTTTTGTTCTGAATATAGCTAGGTAGCCTGCTCTTTCTCACTCAACCTCAGTGAAAGAGAACAGGGTTAAACTACCTAAGCACTCAGGTAGAACTCATTCTCTGGAAACATCTAAATGCCTAACACCAGAGCCTTTCTCCTCACCCATTTTTATAGGTAGGATTTTTTGAAAAACCTCTTTGCTAAGCCATCATAGTAATAACTGATGAAGGTAATAATCATTAAAAAAAAAACAAAAACATTGAGTTGATGCTGACTCATAGCAACCCCCACTGGTTTTCCAAGGTGAGAAATCTTTGCAGAAGTAGATTTCCCCCATCCTCCTTCTGCAGAGCGGCTGGTGGGTTTGAACCACCAACCTTCTAGTTAGCTGTCAAATGCCTTAGACACTGCACCACCAGAGCTCCTTAATAATCATAAATAGATGTTTATTAGGATAAGCACATAGCCTCAAAGCACCTCCCCATAAGATACTTATTAATTACAAAGGGAAATATCACCAGTAATAGGAAAACCAACATCATATGCCTCCTGGCATGATGCATTGAAAAGACACATTACTTCTGTGGTCTGCCTGCTGAGAACACCTAACCTGAATTTAAGCATGAGAAAATACCAGACAAACCAAAATTGAGGAAGAGTCTATAAAATAACTCCTGGCATAATTCAAATTCTTAAAAATCCAGACTTACTGGACTGGTTGAGATTGGACGACTCCCCATGACTATCACCATGAGATACTCTTTAAATCTTGAATCAAAACTAATCCCTGAGGTTACTTTTTACATAAATAACATAAAGATATTTTAGCTCATAAAATAAAAAATATAATCCGTGAATACTGTGTTCCCTTAAAAAATCATCTATATGAGACCAAACAGTCAACAATTACCCTAAAGCAAAGATAAGAATGTAAAGGGGTAAGGAAACTAAATTACTAGAAACAGAACAACCAGAACAGAATTAACCAAAATGCTGATCCATTGTGAAAAATGTAACTGATATTGTGGAATAATTTGTGTAGAAACTGTTAAATGAGAACTTAATCTGTTGTATAAATTCTCACTGAAAACAGAATAAAATATTATTTTAAATAACTAAAATAAAGTAACTGGCATATACTCTTCAAAAATGTCATTGAAGACAAAGAAACACTAAGGAACTATTCTAAACTAAAGAAGACTGGTTGCCATGAGTCAGCACTGAGTCAATGACAACTAACAACTCCTGCAACAAAGATAAATGACAATACAATGCAATGAAGAATCCTGAATTGGATTCTGGACCAGAAAAAATAAAAAATTTCCTTTTGCTGAAAGGACATTAGCAGGGCAAGTGGGAAATTTTGAATAAGTCTGTGGATTACTATTTCATCAATGTTAATTTCCTGGGTTTGATAATTTTGCTATGGCTGGGAAGGAAGGTGGGGCAACCTACTTCCATAGTGATGCCGCCACAAGCAATCGACTTCCATAGTGATGCCGCCTCAGAAACCCAAGGAGGGGTACGAGTCAGATCCAACTCGATGGCAAGCACAACACAACGATGTAAGGGAATGGCTTTATGTTTCAGGAAACACATACTGAAGCAGTAGGGGGTCAGGAGGCATCATATCTATCACTTTCAAATGGTTATATAAATATGTGTTTACATTACAGAGAGGAAGAAGGAGGGAATAATAAAGCAAATGTGGTAAAATGCTAATGTTTGGAGCATCTGGTAATGGGTGAATGGGAATTTTTTGTGCAGGCAGCCCTCATATTATTGCTCTTTGCTTTATTTTGCTTCACAGATACTGCCTTTTTACAAATTGAAGGTTTGTGGCAACCCTGCATTGAGCAAGTCTATCGGCTCCCGTTTTCCAACAGCATATAGTCACTTCAGGTCTCTGTGTCCCATTTTGGTAATTCTCACAATATCTCAAACATTTTCATAATGCTATTGCACACTTAATAGACTATGGTATAATGTAAACAGAACTTTTACATGCACTGGAAAACCAAAAAATTCACGTGGCTAGCTGGGGTAGTTAGGGTTGTGTGTCAACTTGGCTGGGCCTAGCTGAGTGGCTGGCCTAGTTGAGTGGCTGGGCAGCTGGATGTAGTTGTTCCCCATGGTGAGATTGGCAACGGATTTCATGGTGGAATCTACTGGAACAGCTTAGTAGCTGCTTTAGCGATGTGGTCTGCTTCCAGTATACAAGCAGCAGCTTTGGGAATGGTCTGAAGCTTATGACACGCTTGATCCCTGCATGTAGCTCAGTTGTTCACCAGCCTGCTATGTTGCCCTGCTGATCTTGGGACTTTTTCTGGACTTGAATCAATGGCCTGCCATGTGGTTTGGTAATATCAGGACTGTCTCATTTTACTGGTCAACCTTGGGCTTGTTAGCCTCAGCAGCCAGCAGCTGCCTGAGTGAAGAGATACCTGTAGCTTCAGCGGGCCGAGAGCAAAAGGCAGAGCTGAAGCCCAAGGTCGAGGGGCTTTCACCCAACCCTTAGAGCCTGACACTTTAAACTCAAACTTCTAGCCTCCAAAACAGTAAGGGAATAAATTCCTGTTTCTTAAAGCCATCCCAACTGTGCTATTTCTGTTACAGTGGCACTAGGTAACCAAAACACTTGCTTTACTGTGATATCCACCCTATTGCAGTGATCTGGAACTGAACCCACAGTATCTCCAAGGTGTGTGTGTACTATTCTTGTAACTTTCCAGTAAATCAAATATTTCTAAATAAAAAGCTTTAAAAAACAGAATATATTTAATCAGTGATAATCTCTTTATCACCAAAACGTTATTTCATTAGTTCTCCAAATCTTTTTCTGAATCACCTAACTTGCTGTCAATACAAAAAAGAAACAACCTTTAAATAAAATCTTTTCACCTAGCAAATTAAGATGATTATCTTCGTGCACAGGGGACCTGATTCTCCCTCTTCCTGGGAAAGAGCAATGGGAGCAATCACCCTGGATCATACTGTCTTCCTGTTTCTTCTCACTACTGTGACTGGTATCCTGGATATTGCAGAGCAGGTGCTTGTTTTTTTTTTTCCCAAACTGAAATTTAAGGTTGATACAGTTTAAGGTAATTAATTTAACTAATATAGAGTATTTTTGTAAACATACTAGACAGTCATGTGTGTTATATGATTCCTTAAATAGGTACATTATGTTACCTGGAGCTTTTCTATGCCAGCATGAACTACCTTTGGCTTTAAAAAAAAAAAAAAATTTGAGAGTCAATTCATTACAAATGACTGTAATTATTGCTTTTTAATGCTCACACTGTCACTTCTTTTGTGGATTTTTCTAGACTCTCTAAGAGTCTATAAATGGAGATAGACAGAATTGTCAGGGAGCCAGTGTGGAGAAAAAATCACCCTAAATGTCACAGGATCAGGAACTCTAGCTGTTTATCTCCCTGAGCTATGAAGTTTCTTGTGACACTACCGGCCTGTCTTAGCGGCACCGGCAGACACCAGGAGAAAAGCTTAGAGGAAAGTGTTGTGGGGCCAGACATTCAGCCCGAAGGCCCTGGGCAGGGCCAGGGTAGGCATGGTCACCAAAGGGTATCCTTTCTGCAGTGCAGGGCAGCACAGCTCCAGGCCAGCCCCCACATGGGACCCACACCACACTGTCACCAAAGACCCCTGACAAATGAAGATTCTCACGCAACCCAAATGCTTCATTAAATATTTAACAAGCACTTTTTGTGAACATAAAGGAACTGCCCCTGGAGGCCCTGGACAAGCTAACATCTCCTCTGGGACTCAGTTAGGGGCCTGGCTGCTGCCTAGAAGACCTCTCACCTCCTCACCTCTATTTCTGTAAGTTAGTGGCATAGGGTTTTTTGGGGTTTTTTTTGGGACGGGGTCCTCTGGAGGACTGGGTCCCAGTCGTGGACATAGTCACCTGGAAGATAGCAGAGGGCTCAGCGTAGAGGTCCAGGACAGGATGGGGATGGTCGCTGTGGATCTTGGGGGTCTGGAGTTGGTAGCTGACGTTGACAGTGATGTTGGAGAAGCAGTCCTCCTCACAGGGCTATAGGGCCACCAAGGTCGGCAGGGTTGGAGATGTAAGAGAAGATGACAAGAACACTTTTAACTCCGATGCAGTCATAAGAAGAAGTAAACAATGCAAGTGGTGAATTCGAAGTCCTAAGCATCTTCCAAATAAGCCAGGCTGAAAGGAAACTTCCTTCAACCACACTTCTAAGAGCTTTGAAAAAAAAATCTTCCCTCGTGTGCTATGGCCTCGAGACTCATAAATTCTTATGAATCCCATCCCAGTCACCCAGCGCTTCTGGCGTTGGGAGTTAAGACCTAGTTTGGACTTTATTCATAGCACAAGTGGAAGGCAGAGAAGGGAAGACTTACGGTCAAACGAGTGTTTACAAAGATTTTCCTCAAAGTAGCATGGAGGTCATATTAGAGAAGAAAAAAAGCAACACTAAGGAGCTCATTTAGATGCCTTTTGCCATTTTGTTTGCTCAAATGAGCTTTCTTGCCATGATATTAGCTTTGAACATATGAAAACAGGCAAGCGTGATTCTCTGGTGGAAAATGTAGTTATGCTTTTATTTAAGGCAGGCCATTGACTTGCTAGAAACTCCTTCTTAATCCAATTAATAAATCCAATACTTAAATCAAATTTCACCTTGGAAACAGATGTATAGGAAGAAGCATAGTTCATGACTTTGTTTATTGGAATAAATGATGTTTATAGGTTTAAGTTGTTGGTCCTGTTGGGCTCTGAGAAATAATATTTTTTCATGTCTCAGAGCACCTTTGCCAGGAGTAAATATTTCTAAATGATAACATTTGTCTTTCTATTCCTTCATTTTCATTTAAATTTTTCAGCATTGACTCCCGTAAGGGCTCTCAGCCCCACTGTGACTCTCAGGTGAGGACTAATCACATGAGGGAGAGACACCTGTGATTCCTGACTTATTACCAAGAAAAATGCCAATATTTCCCTTTTTCCCTCAGGTTCTCAGGAAGCTCAGACACAGGTTCAAATTCATTAGGTTTCTTCAATCTGGATCTCCCATGCCTTTATGTGTTTCTTGATCTATTTTCATTGTCTCATTTATAAGCATGGGTATGTTTCTTACTTCACGTGCACCTCAATGATACAAAACCCACCAGACTCTTTTAAACTCCTCCACTTACCTCTCCCTCCGTGAGGAACAGGAGGTCCTCACAGAGCAAGGACCCTCTGTTCCACACCCTAAGGGTGCTCAGACAAGTTTGCACATCCGAACACTTCAGCCTTTTCCTCTGCTTCATCACATCCACGTCCAATGTGAAGTTGAGAGATGTCTCTCTGAGGCCTGGGAAGAGATGTCTCTCTGAGGCCTTCCTGATGAAGCTGGGATAGGCAAGCCTCAGGCTGAGGGCCCCAAGCCTGCGTCAGGCTCCTGTGTGCCCATCCTGAATGGTGTCTCTACGCAGCCACTTCCCTGGGGCAAGACTCTTGAGTTTCTTCTTCCTTTCAGAGGTACTTTCTCATGGTCTCTAGCACCTAGGTAGGGTCCCTGAGTGTGCGCCAAACCCAGACCAGCACATTTCAGGGCTGAGTCAGCCTTCCTTATGGGAGACAGGGTCAGGGAGGAGGTTGGGGTTGAGGGAGGAAATAAGGAAGAATATCACAGGGAATAGAGAAGAAATCATAGAGTAAACATGAGAAACATGAAGATAGCAAAGCTGGAAGCACCTTGGGGATTACCCAGGCCAATTCCCTTACAGAACAGACTAGAAACTGGGGCCCAGAGAGGGACATACAGCTATCCAGCATCACACAGCCACTCAGCAGCTGCTAGTCAGGTTCTGTGCCCTGAAACTTACAGCCTATACAGCTGGAATGGATAGGTCTATCATTTTCTAGCCCTAGATTAAAAATGGCCTCCTTCTAAGGTAAAGTGACCCACTTTACCTTAGGTCTTTACCTTAGGAGAGTGTTCTCTGGCCTGTGGGAAGCAGAAAGATATCTCAGGGATAGATACTAAGAGATTAAGCCTTGAGGACTGTTGCTGAGGGGTTAATCTATAGGGGAGCCCTAGGATTGTACGTTCTTGGGCTGTGAAAAGCCATGACCACCTGCTGGAAATAGTCTCCAGCGACTATCAAGTAAAGGGTTGGGAAGGGAGGCCGGGCCTCTGGCAGTTTACCCACGTCCACCAAAGGCAGGGAGACTAGATGAGGGGGGTAAGGGAGAAGATGTGAATCAGACAGAAAGAGGAAAGGGCACTTCTCAGGAACTCCGACACACACATGCACACTCGTGGGCAGAGTTCCAGGTAGATGGAAGCCTGAGGAAGAGATCCAATGCCCCTGTTCCCAATAGGGTCAGATGAATCTCTTCAGAGTGTAGACTCAACATCAGACCACCCTTTCCTGAAGCAGCTCACACAGACTCGAATGTCAAAGTAGCTGAGCTCTAATAGAAGGATTTTAAGTACCAAGACCCCACACCAACCACCACCCCACACGTACACAGTCCTCTTTTCCTGCCCGCTAAACCAAACCAAACTCACTGCCATCTAGTCGATTCTAACTCATAGTAACCCCCTTGTTGTTGTTGTTGTTATGTGCCGTCGAGTCAGACCTGACTCATAGCGACCCCTCCTTGGGTTTCTGAGGTGGTATCACTATGGAAGTAGATTGCCCAACCTTCCTTCCAAGGAATGGCTGGTGGGTTTGGGCCACAGCCTTCTGGATAGCAGGCAAGTGCCTTAGGCACTACACTACCAGAGTTCCACAGCAACCTCCTACAGAACCCAAAGAGGGATAACCACAACACAGGTGGGTCAACTAGGCTGCCAGTTACCTGTCTCAGTGGCTGGAGTCCCAGAGCTGATTTCAAAGCACAAACGCACATCCACTGTACCGCTGAATCCAATGGGTAGTGCCTCAGGGGTAAAGTGCATGGACACCTTCAGGTTAACCACAGGTAGTGAGCTAAAACAAGTGCAAGAGGACCATGAGATGTAACTACAGAACTTCTGGGTCAGGGCTTGTCTGATTCATTCATTCATCTCCAATATGCTAAGTGCAATTCTGAATCCTCAGGATACAGTAGAGAAAGAGGTATGTCCCCACTCTAGTGGGAAAGCAGACAATAAGCAAATAAACAAGAAGAAACAGGAGAATACTATGTATTGGTAATACTATGGAGTCCCAGGGTGACACAAATGGTTAAATACTCAGCTACTAACCGAAAGGTTGGCCATTTGAATCCACCCAGGGGAACCTCAGAGGAAAGGCCTGGTGATCTACTTCCAAAAGATCACAGCCATTGGAAACCCTACGGAGCACAGTTCTTCCTTGACACATATGGGTTTGCCATGAGTTGGAATGGACTCGACAGCAGCTGGGCATAATAGTAGAATAAAAAGAAAATAGTATAAGGTAGTAGAGATGGGGGGAAGCTTAAATTGGGAGCTCAGGGATGGTCTCACTGATGAGGCAGCGTTTAAGTTGAAATCTGTTAACAAGAAAGAGCCAGCCATGTCAAGATCTGGGAGAAGAGCACTCCAGGCAGAGAGAACAGCCAGTGCTAAGGGCCTATGCCAGGGGTGAGTTTGCTTTGTCTGACAACCACAAAGGTCAGTGTGTCTGCAGTATAATTAGTGGCAGAGGGTAGTAACAGGAGATGGGAATGGAGGCCATCGTAAGGAGTTTGGATTTTCCTCTGCACGGGAGCCACTGTGGGGTTTTAAACAGCAAAGTGAAGGGATCATTCACTGCTCTGTGGAGAATGAAGCCAAGGGAATGGAAGCAGGATGAATGCCTGGTAATGGTCTAGGTGAGAGAGGACAGTGTCTTGTATGGGAGGTAGTAGCAGAGATGGAGAGAAGTGGGTAGATTTAGAGATATATTGGAGGCAAGGCCAATAAAGACTTATTGATGGGGTAAAGGGCAAAGGAAGAAGAGGAATCAAGGATATCCTGAACTTTTGAGGGAATGAGGGGTGCATGAGAATAACACATTTTAGAAATGTTAGCTTTGAGATACTCATGAGCAATAGCCAAGAGAGGTGCTGAGTATACAGCTAAGTCTGGAGCTCAGTGGTGAGGATGGGGCAGATGTTTAGAGCCGTGAGACTTGATAATTCATTTAGGGATGGAGCACAGAGACTCTGGAATTCATCATCATCATCGTCATCATTGCCATCAGTATCAACTATGCTAAATACTTTGCATATATCCCCTCATTTAATTCTCTTAAGTTTGTGAGGAAAGGGCTATTATTATTTCTATTTATAGATGAGAAAATTGGGACTTAGAAAAGTCAAATAACCTGCCCAAGGGCACACCATTAAGTGAATGCTGAGGTTCAAATGCAGATACCTTATGCAATAAATCACTGCACTTTCTCCTTCCATCAGTGCTTGGTGTTTTCATGAGGCCATTTCCTAACCCACTGCCATTGAGTCGGGTCTGACTCATAACAACCCCTCCTTGGGTTTCTGAGGTGGAAACACTATGGAAATAGATTGGCCAACTTCCTTCAGAGGAGTAGCTGGTGGGTTTTAACAGCCAGCCTTCTGGCTAGCAGTCAAACACCTTAGAAAAATGTATGAAAGCCAAACAAAGTATGGGCATGTGAGTTAAACATTTACCTCAAGTAGACACATGCCCTGAAGAGAACAATCATGGGAGAAGGAAGGGCTGCTTATGCACAGGGAGACAGCTCAGGGGGCAGGAGAGTATGGAGGGATGGACACTGGGAAGAGGTAACTATGGGGAGGAAGTGGGAGGGGAGCTGTTGCATTGTGGTAAACTGTGGTCAATGACATGAGACAAAGTATATGTGAACTGCTGTATAGAAAGTCAATTTGCTCTGTAAATCTTCACCCAAATCACAATAAATAAAAAAAGAAAAATGGATGAAGCTGGTGCCCAAGAGGTAGGGCAGACCCCTACCGGAGCACTGCTGCCTGGCCCAGAGAGCACACAGTGATGTCAGCAAGGCCGTCACCACTGAAATCGAAGCTACCAGCCACGGTCATGCCGAAGTAGCGAAGTCCTAGGGCCACTGCGGAAGCTCTGATCCTCTGTGGAAGGAGAAACATAAGGCGTGTGTGTGCAGGAGGGGTGTTAAAGAACAAGAAGGTCCATTTGGTTTTATTCAATTCATCATGAACAGTCAAGGGTTCCCACCCTGGGGATCCCTCAGTCTAACAAGAGGAAGGGCAAGGTTTCCCAAAGGAACTGGCATTTGAAAGGGGCCTTAAACCACAGGTGGGACTTGAAAGGCAGAGACAGGTGAGTGAAGCAAGCAGCGGGTGGGAGAACAGGGCCCTCTGAGGAAACAGACAGGTGAGAGCAGGAGGGAGTCTTCGTTCAAGGAAGGATCTGAGCTGTGGGGCTGGACTTGGACTTGTAGTAGGGGTGCAGAGTGTCATCAAAGGTCAAGGTTTTTTTTTCTTAAAAAAGTGACATGATCAGAATTTCACTGAAGGCATACGGTAGAAGTGGAGGCTGGAGAGGAGGTGGGAGGCCAGCGAAGGGCAGTGGTGGCAGGGGTGGAGAGGAGCTATTTTAGGGAGAGAAGGAGAAGGCAGAATCTAGAATCATTAGGACCTGGGGACTGACAGCCTTCGCAGGATGAGAAACAGGTCAATGTGTATGGGATTACCCTAAATTTCTAGTCTGGGTGATGGTTGAGGAGGGGACCCGGAGGAATGGCAGGTGGGGGGGCAGGAAGGGGATACTTTCTGTTGGGTGAGGTGAGAGTAAGATGCCTGGGGCCACCCAGGTGGCGGTGCTCACGAGGCAGACAGAATGGAAGCTTAGGAGAGAAACTGTAGTTGCCCATAGAAGATGTTGCATGGGAGGTTGCCAATGGACCCCTGGAGGATGGGGGTTAAGGTATGGAGGGGTTGGGTGTGAGACAGGCATCAGAAAAGGGGCAGAGAGAGAGAGAGGAAGGAGACACCTGAGGCAGGTCCATGGTCAGGAATGCCACAGGAGGGAGATGTAGGTCAAAAACCAGACCACAAGACCGTAACTTCTCACCCCCGCCCCCAAGGATCTAGGTGAGGTCCTGGCCTGGGACTTCCCTTCTTCATTGAACACTGCCAGCCCCCTGAGGTCTGCCTGTACTTAAGCCTGGAGCTGGTTCAGGCTGTAGCCATCACATCTGGGGGAGATCAGAGCCACAGAACTGAGGCAGAAGACGGTGGGTACTGTGAAGCCCCATGGGTCACCTGTGAAGGATTGGCAGAGAGGCCGTCCTGGCGTCCATTGTAGATGTACACACTGCCAAAGCTGGCACCATCATCGGCCCTAAAACCCTCCAGGGGGGCCCCGATGGCCACATCTGTGAGCTGATCCTGACTGATGTCCCCTATAGCTGCCATAGCAAAGCCAAACCGGGCATCGGTGAACTCAGGGTGTCCACTCAGTATCTGTGCCAAGGAGAAGGAGCCGTTCTGTAAAGCAAGGAGCCAGCTAAGGCCTCAGAAGAAGGGCACAGGTCACCCTCCCCATGACCACCCAGGAGGCACACACATTGGGCTTGTTGATTCTGATTCTCCAGCAGGGAGTCTCAAGCTCACAAAAAGCAAAGGGCCTTCCCAAAGTCACACAGTTACCCAGCAATAAATCTGTGGTAACTCCTGCCTTGCAGTTCAGGACCCAGTGCCCTACCCCTTCTGCTCCCAGGATTAGGGGCACTGGACTGGCATCTGGGAGGCTTGGGTTCCAGTCTTAGCTCCACCCACATTTGCTATATAAACTTGACCATGTCTCCAGATCAGTGAGTCTCAGCTCCTCAGCTGTAAAATGGGAGTGACTGCTCCATCCCAGAGTTATGGTAAGTTATGGTAAGAAACAAGTGAGATCATGGACAAACATGCTTTGTCAACCGGACAGCTATAATGGGTGTTATCAACATTGACTGCCTTGGATGAGAAAGCTGGGGAGAGGGGAGGAGAGAAGCAGCTGCCCCATCAACAGACATCTACCCTGAAGCACCTCCCATCACCATATGCCTTCTGGTGCAAGCGCAGGGCCAGGGTACTCCCAGTCTCCATCAGCTCTGCGCCAGGCTGAGGACCCATTGCCTCAGCAAGCTCATGAAGATGGAGATGCTCCCACCTGCTTGCTCAAGTTGTACACATAGACTCTGCCTTCTTCCTTGTGAATGTGGTAAAACGGAGCCGCCACCAGCAGGAAGTCTGTGGTCCCATCCATGTCGATGTCCACAGGGCACAACTCAGAGCCAAAATAGGACCCCATCTACAGCCCAAGAGGAACTCAGTTCACCAGGAGGGCCGGTGAGGGCCTCTCCCCTCCCGTAAGGAGGGCTAGACTTCTGCTCCTGCTCTTCCTTGGATGACAAGGTTTGGGTCTTTCCAGGTCAGTTTGCTCACCAGACTAAACCAAGAGAGTGAGTAAACAGCTCTGTCCCCAAAATAGAGGGACACTAGATGTCTCCAACTCATGGCAATCCCAGGTGTATCAGAGTAGAACTATGCTCCATAGGGTTTTCAACGGCTGATTTTCAAAAAGTAGATCACTGGACCTTCCTTCTGAAGTGCCTCTGGGTGGACTTGAATCTCTAACCTTCTGATTAGCAGCAGAGCACATTAGCTACTTACACCACCCCAGGGACTCCACAATGAAGGAAACCACCTGGGAATCAGATATGCAGAGACCAAGTAGAGCCACTGAGTACTGCCTGAGTTTTGCCCAGGCTGGCACCCTGATGCACAATTTGTATGGGACCAATTTCCCTATGGAAACAGGGTCCCCCATTTAAAATAAGGGGGGGGGGGTTTCTTCCCAGCAAGTACCTGCTCTCCTTGCAGCACGGGAAGGAAGTTGGCCTCTGTGCCATTCTTCAGGAGCTCAAATACAGTCCCATGCTGCTTGTGCTTTGGAGCCCCCGCAACATAAGAGAGGCCACAGGCTCTGTGCAACACAGCCAACGAGTACCCTGTGGGGACCAGAGGCGAGCAGGTGGTGAACCGGAGCTCCCATAGGGCCATTCCTTGGTCCCCTCATCTTCCCAGTCAAGCTTTTGAAGTGGTAAGACTGTTTTCTCAAGCCCGAAATAGGCATCAGCGAGTGCTCCCAATCACACATTGTCGCTGAGGACTGAGATGAGAAGTGAGGGAACGTCCACCACCCTCCCCTAGGCAGCCGCCCAGGGCCACACTGCATCGCGTCCCCACACCAGAAGGCCATACTCTTCACCCTCGGGAACCCTTACCAGGGCCGGTCTCTCACCCACGTGACCTGCCAAGACCCATCCTGACTAGGGGGCCTAATGCCCAGCTTCAGGATCCCTGTCTAGGTCCCGCCCTCACCTAGGTAGCCATTCTGCGCAGCCTTGGGGTCCACTGCAGTCTGCTTCAGGAAGTGACCCTCATGACTGCTCATGTTGTACAGAAGAACACCCCCGGACCAGTCAAATGCACCAACGGCGCCGAGCAGCACCTGCCCCTGCAGGAGATGGCATGGAAGCCCTTCTGAGCGGGAGGGACCAAGGGACCACCCACTGTGGCCGTGGCTCTGCCGACCAGCGTGGCACACTTTGCAGGCCCTGTGCCTGTCTGACCAGAGATGCAGACAAGAAGGGAGATGACAAACACTGGGCTCCTGTACCCAGTACTAGCCCTCCCCCAGGGCAGAGAACTGGCCAGGGGCCCAAATGTGTTGAGCATTAAAAAAGAAGTATGACTGAGTAAGACAGTTGTCATTCTCATTCTTCACAGGACCTGGAGACAGATCTGTGTGTGGAGTGAAGGCCCTAACTGCTCTTCCACTCACACAAGCACCATGCCCTTGCCAAGCCTGTCTCTCCTCACGTTTGTCCAGTGGAGAAGTCAGCAAGTTGACTGGCAAGCCTAACCCCCAAAACCCATTGCCATTGCATCAATTCTGACTCATGGGGACCCTATAGGTTGGAGGAGAACTGCCCCATAGGATTTTCAAGGCTTTAAAATCTTTAGGGAAACAGATTGCCTTACTTTCCTCCCCTGGAGCAACTGATAGGTTCTAACCCACGACCTTTTGATTGGTAGTGAAATGCCTTAACCACTGCACCACCAGAGCTCCTATTGGCAAGCCTACCCAAGCCAAATCCTGTTTTTCTCATCGGAATTAAAGGAAATTTCTCAATCATTGAGCACAGAGAACAAAATTACTCTGTAGGAAAGATGGTCATTCTTCCATCTCAAAGGTCCAGACAGATGTAAGTAAGCAGAAGTAGTCTCCTTCATCCTGAAATCGCTCCTTCAGAGGCATCCCCCCAGGGAGGGCAGAACTCTGCACTGCCACCCAGGAGTGTCTCAATACCTGGCTGTCAGTGGGCCCCTCCTCTAAAGGTGAGCTGTGTGGTGAGTTAGACACATACCTTGTCCAGGATCTGGGCACTGAACCCAACCTGTGCTAGCTGGTAGTGAAGGGCATCTCCGCCTGCACCTGGAAGCCAAGAAGCCCAGTGAGGCCAACGTGAAGGGAGAACCCGAGCCAGGGAAGGGTCCAGTGTGTCCTTGCTCGCAGGGGGAACAGTGTTTGGTGTCATAAGAAGAGCACCAGGCTACATGAAGGCTCCTGGGTTTGGGCCATGTTTTACTTTTTAAATTAATTAATTAATTAATTATTGTGATTAAATAAAAAAAGTTTACAAAGAAAATTCACTTTTCATACAGCAGCTCACATACATTTTTCATGACATTGACTGCAATTTCCCACAATGCAACAGCTCCCTTCCCACTACCTCCCCATAGTTACCTCTTCCCTGTGTCCTTTCCTCCCACACACTCCTGCCCTCTGAGCTGTCTCCCTGTGCATACGCAGCCCTTCTACTGTCCCATGATTGATCTCTCCAAGGAGGGTATCTACCTAATGTAAATGTTCAGCTCATATGCCTGTCTTTTGTTCGGCTGGAAGCCACTGGAGTGGGCCTGAAATTCCAGGCCTGAAAGGCAGCTAGGGGCCATAGTCTCAGGGGTTCCATCAGGCTCTATCAGACCAGCAAACCTGATCCTTTTTTTTTTTTTTTTTTATGATTTTGAGTTTTCTTCCACATTGTTCTCCCACTGTATCCAGGATCTCCTACATAGATGATAGACGATCCATGTTTTTGGAACATGAGCAATTCACTCCCTCTTTCGAGATAGTTTTCCTCATTCCTCAGTACTAATTCTGTTCATCAGAGCCTCACAGAGTTTCTGGGAAGTGAGCAGGTTGGAAGTATTGTTGCCCTTTTTTGAGATGGAGAAACTGAGGCTCAGAGAGGTGATGAGAGTCAGCTGGAGGGCCACATAAAGGGAGGGTGGAGTTGGGGCTGAAGTGCAGGGCTTGGGCTTCCTACTACATTCAGGGGTGGGGGTGGGACAGTCAGAGCGGCACAAGGCCCTGGAGAACTCACCTTCCATATGGATGATACGTTGCTGCAGTTTGCTCAGCAGCCCATCTAGTGCTGAGTAGTTGGTCACCTTGAAAGCATGAGTCTCATCGGGGTCTGAAGCAATTAGCTTCAGTTCTCTGTCAGAGCGATCCTTCTCAAATGCATCCCCCACCTGCACAGAGGTGCCACTGCAGTGTGTCAGCACCCTGAGGGATGGCTGGTTCCCTCTAGGCCTGGCCTCCAGAGCTTTCCACCACCTGTTTCCTTCCTTCCCTGCTCCCTGTTCTCTCTCTAGACACAGTCTATGTTCATTTTACCAAACTACATGTGTTTTCTTGAACACACCAGGCTCCTTCTCACCTCTGCCCATGCTGTTCCCTCTATCTGCAAAGCCCTTCCTGGGTCCCCTATGCCCCAGTAGCTATTCCTGTTCATCCTCCAAGACTCAGCTCAGCACCATCTTCTTCAGGGACCTTCCCTGGTGTCTGGTCCTTCCAGTTGTCTTCCCTGGTCTCCACTGCCTTCCTCATCCCTGCTCTGCAAGTGAGCTGTTACCACCATTGGGACATGAGCTCTCTGTGGGAAGGCTCAGAGGGGCACAGGGCATGCAGATCAGAAGAGAAGTTGGTGAGTGTTTGTGAATAGAGCAAGGTTTGGGTCATCTGCTTACAGAGGGTGATGGAAAACCAGAAGCCCCTATCAGGAGCCCTCCCCCCCACCTGGGACTATGCAGGGTCAGGAGATTCCCCCCAGCTTCTGGCTCTTACCCCAATGGCAAAGCGCTCAACACCCTGCATCTCTGGGGAGCTGATGACAGTCGAGAGGTTGAGGGGGTCCATGAATATGTCCCCATCGGTGAGCACCACCATGACCTTGGTTGCCTTTTTTTTGGAGCCATGCGTTGGGGTGAAGATCTTGTTTCTATGTAGGGGAGAATAAATGAAGAGGGGAACTTTATCAGAAGGACAACTGGGCTCTGGAGAGATTTCATTCACTGAACCAGTTTTAGAATCAGGATTAAAAGTGCCCCTCACCCTAAATGGAGAACAAAGGCTCAAAGAGGGGTGGTGATGCCCATTGTATGTGATGCTATGATACAGGTACCTGCTTCTAATCGAAAGGTGTTAGGTGACATTCAAGTCTATTCCTTTTATGTGTGTGTAGGACTAGCAATGAATAATAATGATGATATTAATCACAACGCTTAATGCTTACATGGGAGCTCTGGTAGCATAGTCCCTAAGGCACTTGACTGCTAACCAGAAGGCTGATGGTTCAAACCCACCAGCCACTCCTCAGAAGGAAGATGGGGCACTCTACTTCCATAGTGATACTACCTTGGAAACCCAAGGAGGGGTCGCTAAGAGTCGGATCCGACTTGATGGCACCTAACAACAACAACAACAATGCTTACAGAGCACTTATGGGCCCTGAAGGCTGGGCCAGGTAGTGTTGTAAAACACTGCACATATTTTAACCCATCAAACCCACCAGCCACTCCTCAGAAGGAAGACTGAGCAATCTACTTCCGTAAAGATACCGACCGCCTCAGAACCCAAGGAAGGTTCGCTATGAGTCGGATCTGACTCAAGGGCATTGAGTTTGGTTTTTTTGGTTAATCTCACAAAAGGAGCTCTGGTGGTGTAGTGCCTAAGGCATTTGACTGCTAACCAGAAGGCTGGCCGTTCAAACCCACAAGCCACTCCTCAGAAGGAAGGTTGGGCAATCTACTTCTGTAAAGATTTACCATCTCAGAAA